CGTGGCCGCAGGTGCCCGTGGCCGCTGGGCAGCGGAGGTGAGGAGCGCGGGGCTGGGGCCGCGGAGCCGATTGCAACCTCGGGCTGCAGAAACCAGGGTCGCTGGGTGGGCAGTCCCGTCCCCGCGGCTCCCGGGCGTGCACATCCTTGGCACCCGGCATCCAGACCCCCCTAGCCGGAGAGCGGGCTGCAGAGCGGCGCCTGCCCGGGCGGAGGACCAGTGCTGCCCGCTCTGACACGCCATCTCCCCGGCGAGGGCGGGGTGCTAGGCTGGCGGGGCTGCGCGGGGACCACTGCCCAGGGTCTCCTGGCACAAGTCCCTTTCGTGGACAGTTGCCTGCCCTGGCTTGGAGTGGAGGCTACGAAATGAGCACCCCGCCCCCATCCGCGCCCCAGCGCTGTCGCCCCAGTCACCTTCCTTTGCCCTTCTCCGACAGCACCTTGGACTTGCTCCCTCCCGAACTGGGGAAAATCTGAGGAAACCAGGCAGGGACCTTGGAGACACCGCCTGCATACTTAACAACCTGGACATCCAGTCACCTTGGTACCTCGCTGCTTCCCAGACACTTTGGAGAGGCAGGTTTGCCATTTCTACCCCCATCCCTACCCCATCCCCCGTCTCTGTCTCTACTGAGGAAGGGAATCTTCTGAGAGAAGTTGGGGTCTAGGTACCCTATAACCTAGCCCCAGAGCCCCAGGGACGGCTCTTAGGTAACTAAAAGACACCCTAGCTTTGTAGCTAACTCCTTCCCTTGGGCAGTTTCTGAATATTTCTTAGAAGCCTGGAGCCCAAGGAAGCCGACTTTTCCTGGTCAGTTACTGCACCCTTTGCTTGGCTCCGACTCTCTCCTTCCTGGGAAGAGACACATTTTTCTTATGACCTCCGGCTGGCCTCGTTCCAATCGCTGCCAGGCCTTGGACTGCCCATCAGGACTGTGATTTTTTTAAGACCTGGTTGGGTCTTAAAAAAAAAAAAAAAAAAAAAAAAAAAAAAGGAAAGGAAAGGCTGCAAGCCTCCAGTCCTAGTTGCCTCTAACTCGGGGTTGTACTCTTCTCTAGAACCTGTGGGCTCCCTGTTCCCCCTTTGGGCTGTAGCAACACCTCTGCCCTTCACTTCCGCAAGAAAATTAATTGCCAGACCTCTTGGGGATGATGATGGAGGCATCCCTGTGTGAGCAGGTGCAGGATTTGGAGGCAATCAGGAAACACACAAGAACGAGGAATGTTTTTAAAAAGCTCACATGATTCTGGGACTAAGAAAAGATGGAGATGCCACTGGTCTGTGGAACTTGGCCTCTCCTTGTCAGGTCGTACCAGCCCAGGGGACTCACATATGCAGGTGATGCGTGTTTGGAACCTAGTCCTTACTGAATTCCAAAGCTGTAAATGCATTCCGAATTTTAAAGTCCTCACAATCATCTTCTGTAATGTAGAAATTTACTCCCCCCCCCCCGCCCCCATACACACCTTAGGAACGATACCCACAAAACTGGTAACTTTGAGAGAGCCCAGGTTCTCTGCCACCTCTTCTGCATCAGGACAGCAGCTAGGACAATGGAAAGGACCATTTTGAGCTTTAGAGTCATATGCCCACTCTTCAGCTCCATAGCCAGATAACTGTTTTATAAGAGGGAGCACAGAAGAAAATCACTGTCCTGTCCGAATGAACAGAAAGATGGGGTGGTGAGAGGTCAAAGGTGGCGGGAGGAATCTTCTCCAAGATGGCTTTCCAAGCATGCCAGTCTTTCAGCATGCTGGATACCCCACAGATCAGATACCCCAAACTGGGCCCTGCCTTGGGAAGCCTGTCTCTAAGAGTCAGGGAGATAGTGAGTACACAGTACACAGAAGCTGGTATGTAACTCAGGGCAGGCAGATAATAGGAATGACCTTGGGAGGGTGCCATCGCCTTTCCTTCTCTCTCGAACGAAAACGTGGACTGGACCAGATGAGTACCAAGGCCCCACCAACGCTAGCCAGCAGACCTTGTGTGGTGGGGCTTGCCTACAAACAGACTCGAGCTAGGCTGCTGTGCGTGGGATCCATTCCAGACTCGTTTACAAACTCGTAGTCGGTGAAATGTGATAAACCGAACACTGTAGGGATTTCTAAACAAGGAATTAAAAAACTCGACTCCAAATGGGAGAGATGCAGGCAACAAATCGTCAGTGTTTATGTGCCTCTGAATAGCTTTGATTTCCTTCGGTAGGAGCTGACAGCTGGCTGACAGAAAGCTCGCCCAGGGAGAGAAGAGACAAAAATCAAGTATGGAACTAGGAATCATGGTTTCAGGTAACTTTCTATTTCCATTTGGAGTGGGTGTCTTCTGGGAGGGTGAGTGTAGTTATGGTTTGAATTGCTCCATTTGCCCACAGATATTTTTTCCCAAGGGCTCCTGATTCTAAAATGCCATGCTTTGCTTCTGCCTTCCAGAGCTGGGGATCCCAGCGTTCAGCCTGCAGACTCCCTCTGTCCTCATTATTTGCTCCTCCATCATCTGGGGTCTTTCTGATCTATTTGTTCAGATGGTCAGTCTTGGATTTCTTGCCCCAGAGACTGCTTGCCAGCTGCTGGAGGTGGAGGCAGCATCTGGAAGCCCAGGTGCCCTGAAAGCCCACAGACTTTCAAACCACCTTGTTCTTCGCCCTTTGCCACTTCGTGTGGCACCCAGGACTACCAGGACCTATAGTTCAAGGGTCATATATACCAATGGCTCTTCACATGACAGCATCTGTCACTCTGCCAGGTCTTCTCTCTTTGCAAAGCTTATTTCAATTTTTTTTTCACTTGATAATACCTTTCCTCCAGTTGTCTTTATTCTTGGGAGTGTATGCCTTTTAGCCTTAAAAACAAGGTAAATACATTTTTCGTGGAAGTTTACCAGCAGAGAAAGGTAGTGAAAGAGTGTGCCAAGTACACAGTGATGCATTCTAACTAGAGTTACAGACTTCTAGTTTTAACAAGGAGTCGGGCTGGAGCAATGGCTCAGTAGTTAGGGTCACTGGCTGCTCTTCCAAAGGTCCCAGATTCAGTTCCCAGAACCCACATGGCCCCTCACAACCACCTATAACTCTAGTGCCAGGGAACCTGATACTCTTTTCTGGTGTCAGAGAGAACCAACAGAGACATACATGCAGTAAAACCTTCATACACACAAAATGAAAGTTTAAAAAGAAATAAAATAGGGAAGGGTTCACACAACTATTTAATAATTAAGACCTAATAATGAAGGGATCCATAAGGAAAATCTAGTAAGTCCTTACTAGATTCCACTGAATCCGACGAAACATTATTGATGGAGTAAAAATGTCATTTTCAATAGTCCAAGACAACCTTGTTTCATTTCTCAGGCACTGTCTGTTTTGTGGCATGTGTGCATGGTGCGTGTGTGTGTGTGTGTGTGTGTGTGTGTGTGTGTGTGTGTGTGTATACATGGGTGCACACTGCTCATGTGTGAGCACATGCAGGTGTACAGGTGCATGTGCACCTCTGTGTGTGTGTGTTGTGTGTGTGTGTGCACGCGCGCGCGTGCGTGGTGGCCAGAGTTGAGGTTGAATGTCTTCCTTAGCCTCTCGCCACCTTTGTTTTTAATCGAGGCTCTCACTGAACTTAGAGCTCACTGATTTAGATAGTCTAGCTACCCAGCTTGCTCCGGGAGGGGGCCAGGGGTCTCCTGTCCTCACTTTCCACATGCTGCAATTACAGCTGGCACCATATCTACCCTACATTTATGTGGGTGCTGGGGATCTGAAGTCTGGTCCTCACACTTGCAAGGTAAGTGCTTTATGGACTAAGACATCTCCCTAGCCTTTACCATTTTTTTTTTTTTTTTTTTTGGAAAGAGTCTTTCTCTAATTGGGAACTCAACACCAAGCAGGCTTGACTGACTGGTCAGGGAGGCCCAGACATCTATCTATTTCTGCTTCTCGAGTGCTGGGGTTACAGGCACACGCCACCATGTCCATATTTCTTTTAGCATGGGTTCTCGAAGTCAAATGTGGGCCCTCATGGTCACAAAGTAAGCGCTTTATCCACCAAGCGATTCCCCCACCCCATCTCTGTCATTTTAAAAGGCTTTGGATTTGGGATGTGCTAAAAACGAAGTTAAAATCTGAGATCAATTCCTTGAAAAGAAGAATGAGTCAAGTAGAAGGCTAAGTAGGACTCCCTTCCGGTGATGCCTTTCAGTTCCATGTCCACACAGCATAAATATTATAAGACTGCCATTCCACAGATGGTAACGCACTTTTCTCTGTCCTGCCAGCCAGCTCCCAAATAATGACACAGAGAGACTTCTTATTAACTATGAAAGCTCGGCTTTAGCTTAGGCTTGTTTCTAACTAGCTCTTAGGACTTAAATTAACCCATTTCCATCCATCTGCGTGCTGCCACATGACTCATGGCTTTTACATCTCCTCCTGCATGTCCTCCTTCCTCTGCATCAGGCCCATGACCCTGCCTTTCTTCCTCTCCAAGTCCTCTCTGTCCCCAGAAGTCCCGCCTAACCTCTTCCTGCCTGGCTAAGGACCATTCGGCTCTTTATTAAACCTATCACAGTGACACGTCTTCACACAGTGTAAAGGGATGTTCCGCAATAACAGATGGATGAAATCAACACTCCCAAGAAGCCAAGGCTTGCCTAGGGCTTACAGCTCACATGGGAAAATTAGGATCCCATTCTGCATCTGCCTGACTCTGAATCTGCTCTGAGCTGTGACGTGGATGGAAGGCAAACGGCACCGGGAGAGGGTCAAGAAAGGGGACTAGCAAAGGGGCTGACTGAACGTCCACATGGTGTTAGCCCTGGGTTCTCAGGGTGGGTTTCCTCCCACAGGAGCAAAGATCATTCGAGGCAAGAGAAGTGGTCTCCATCAAATGCTCTGAGAAGAGCAAATCAGATTCACATGTCAGCATTTGTGGTTTAGGAATGATTGATCTGGCAAGATGAAAGAACTCCCTGAAAGAGGGTGAAGGACTAAAGACAGGGCTGTTTAACTAAGGCACTGACTAAAAAACGAGGCGCTGGGAGCCTTGTCAGAACCTCTAGGGAATGAATTATCGGACAATCGTCTCCTGAAAAAATTGAAGTTTCAACACTATCAGAATGGCCCCACTATTAAAATGTGAGCAAACTCAGAAGCCATTATAGCATATGGAAGCACAGACCTACAGTGTAGACACTGTGGAAACTGAGGCAGAAGGATTGCTGGAGCCCAGGCATTCAGGCCAGTCTGAACAACCTAGCCTAGTTTCAAGGGCTGGGGAGCTACCTCAGTCAGTTAAATACTTGCCACGCAAATTTGAGGACCTGAGTTTGGTCTCCAGCATCCACGTAAATGGTGCACACTTGTAATCTCCGCACTGGGGAAGCAGGGTCAGCCGGATCCATGGACTGCCTAGCCAGCCGGATCCATGGGCTGCCTGGCCAGCCGGATCCAGGGGCTGCCTGGCCAGCCAAACAGCCTTAAGAGAGACCCTTGGGTCCTGGTGAGAGACCTTATTTCAAAGAACAAGGTGTGGAAATCCTGAAGGACACTGGGGATTGACTTTGGGCTACACACAGGCATACCCCACCATCAGTGAGCATGTGCCTACGTCCACACATAACAACGATGTAAAGACAGAATTCACTCCAGTGAAAAGTAGGCCTCCTGAACTCTTTTTTGCTAAATAATTCTCCAGGCCTCAGGAGAGAAGGCTTGATATTATCTACATAACAAAGACAGGAGGCAGCCAGTTGGTACTCAACTTCCCTGAGGTTCACAGCATCCCCTGTAGGATGGAGAAGAGGCCACCGCCCCTCTCGGACATCCCAGCCTCCAAGTGTGTGTGTGTGTGTGTGCGTGTGAAAGTAACCTAAAGTCTTTCCATCTTTCCACATTTAAAGGTTCTTAAGAATGAGGGTAACCAGATAAGAGTCCTAATTCTAGAACCCATAGGAAAGTGTAATATTGAAAGTCAAAGCAAGGCATGGTGGTGCACACCTTGAATCCCAGCACTCTGTGAGTTCGAGGCCCAGCCTGGTCTGCATAGTATACATAGTGAGTTCCAGGACAGCCAAAGCTACTAGTGAGACCTTGTCTGGGGCAAAAAAAAAAAGTCAGTACATGGTACTTGTTCTTATTTCAGTGTCTCTCAAGCATGACTTTGGTTTAAGGATTTTTTAAAAAACTTTTTTTGTGGTTGCTACTGTATCATCATTTCTTTGCTTGGAGTTACTAAGTGGTTTCTGTATTTGGTATTATGTTCCTCCTAGTTTCTTTGCATAGTAAACTCATTTGTATTTGAAAACTGCAAAGAAGTGGTGTTCTTTGGTGTTCTCATGTGAACTTTCAAATGCTTTGCTTCCAGAATAGACCTGCGAATTGGGAGCCACGCTGCCCCCCTAAGTCCTGCACCCCAAGCTTCAGGTATGTTTTGCTGGTAGAATAGCTTTTCTAAACTGTGATGATAGGGGCATCGAACCAAGCGTTTCCTTTCCTTCCGGTTGTGCGTCCACTCCCTGAGTGCTTAGCTATACGTCATGAATGATGTCAAAATGGAGGCAGTTTGGTTTGGAGTACTGCCTTTTATGAGCTTATTCATGGCAATGCCATGGGAATATTCGGCAACAAATACTATTAATAATGCCATGAGAACTGAACTGTGTTGTGTAAGGAAGGCCTCGTATGACCTACCTTTGCACATGCTGACCTTTCCTGTCTCCAGGCTCCTATGATGCTGAGAGTGGTACCATATGGAAGAGTATGTGACAATGTACTGTTCAAAGAACAGACAGAGGCCTCTAAATACAACACCCAAGCTGGAAAATGGAAAAAGCATCACTGGGACTTTAGAGGCCTCTGGGTCACCCTCCCAGATCACACAGTTTTCCCTCCTCTACCGACAGCCCCTTTCCCTTTGGATGCTAGTCATAGCTTTCACTGTCGTCCCACTGACTGATAGGAAAACATAACTAACTGTCAGCAAGTACAACACTAGACGGAGTAGGAGTGATAGTGACTGTAGGTGGTGAATCTCAGAAGATAAGCCACCTATGACTGCTTACAGGCACCCCCAGGCAGGGTCAGGAATGAGTCCTAGGATCCATGGGGCTCGTCATAACATGGTCTCTGGCCTAGACGTGGTGCGGTGCAGTGACTGAGTGGGGCTGTTCAGCCTCCCCTCCCCCTCATCAAGCCCACCAGGACTTAGTCCTAGGACGACGTCAGAACCGAGTGAAGAGCAGAGCTAAGAGGAGCACCACTTGGAGCCACAGAGGCAGGACCGGAGGGGACGCAAGTGTCAGGACACAGCAAACAGAGACAAGAACCGAAGCCAGGCTGCTGCTTTGGGCTTCAGTTCACAGACAGAGCATGGTGGGGTGACCGCATCGAGGATGCCTGTGCACATCCACCCACCTGGCAGGTCCCTCCAGCATTTTCTGGGGGCTTGGGGTGCCTCTCTTCATGATCCTCAGCGTCTGTATTCTATGAGCGCTGTTTTTCTTGTTTACCGTTTCATCTCGGTAGATTCTTTCCTTCGGTTAATCCTTGAGAGTATGTCCCAATTCTTGCCTGGAGGTTTGGCTAAATATAGAACTCTAAGCAGAGGGTCATTTCTCCTTCGGATATTTAAAGACACTTCTGCATTGGGTCTCATTGCTATTGTTAATATACCTGGATCTAAATTCACGTTTGGTCCCTTGGGATGTGACTTACCCCACCCAAGGGCCCCTTCCCTTCTTCTGCCATGGAGACTGTAGAATCCTCGAGTTTGTCCTCTGGAAGTTCACAGGCACGTGTTTTGGGTATCACCGTTTCATCCACAGTGCAATGCTCCGATTAGGTCTTTTTGATTTGATACGTCTTAATTCCTTCCCCCCACTTTAGTTGATGATTTCTTCTTGTGCTCCCCTTTTGACATAGTTTCCTTGCTGGTGCTGTGATAAAATACTCCTCCCAAAAGCAGGCTGGGGAGGAGAGGCTTCATTTGGCTTGCAATTCCAGCTCACAGTCGTTGAGGGAAGTCAGGGCAGGGACTCAGGGCAGGAAGCATGGAGGAATTGCCTGCTGGCTTGTTCTCTGGCTTGCTCACGGGTTCGTCGTAGGCTAGCTTTCCCATACATCCCAGGACCATCTGCTTAGCAATGGCGAGGTCCACAGCAGACAGAGACCTTCTTCATCAGTTGCTAATCAAGACATTTGCCCAGAGGCATGCCCACAGGCCAGATTGATCTAGGCAGTTCCCAAATCAAGTCTTTCTTCTCAGGTGACTCCAGGCTGTCAAGTTGACAGTTGATGCTAAGTAGGACACTACTCTACCATTTTTTCTTGGTTGAAATATTATTTAGATGTTGGAGTTCCTGGACTAGTATCTCTGGTTGTATTTTTCTTTCTTTTCCTGTTGTTTGTTTGTTTGTTTGTTTGTTTGTTTGGTGAGACAAGGTCTCTCTGTGAGGCTGTCCTAGAACTTCTAGCCTTCCTGCTTCTACTTGTCAAGTGCTGGGATTGTCAAGTGCAGGTGCCATGAAACCCAACCTTTTTCTTCTCTTTTCTTTTCTTTTCTTTTCTTTTCTTTTCTTTTCTTTTCTTTTCTTTTCACTCCACCGTGTTGGAGATTCTCATCACCACTGCCATCTACATCTTCTATTGCTTTTTTGTTTGTTTGTTTGTTTTTATGTGCACTGGTGCTTTGCCTGCATGTATGTCTGTGAGAGTGTCTGATGTTGGAGTTACAAACAGTTGTTAGCTACCATGCGGGTTCTGAGAATGGAACCCCGGTCCTCTGGAAGCGCAGGCAGTGGTCTTAACTGCTGAGCCATCTCTCCAGCCCCCTTCTATTGACTTTTTCAGGCTTCTTTTGTGTTCTTTTGAGATTTCATGGTCTCCGAATACTGTTCACAGACATACGATGCATACGATGACTCTTACTCCTTTGAGGATACTGAGTTCTTGAAGTTTTTATTTTCCTGACTACTGTCTTTTCCCTCCCGTTTACCTTTCTCGGATTGCCTTGGCCTCTGTCTTTAATGCAGGAAGACTTTTCACTTGCTTTTTGGTTTTTATTTAAACTATTGGCTCATGACTAAAAGGCCAGATGATAAGACCAGTGAGAAGACTGGAGCATAGGGGTGACACTGGTCCCCTGGGAGCCTCACTGTGGAATGCTCTGGGGACACCTGAAGTCCTGTGGTATTCGCTCAGGCAAGCCCAGCTGTTGAATGCAGACCTGAGCAGCTTTCTCCCGAGGGGTCGGGTGTTGCTGACCATCTCTCTGCAGCTGGTCAAGAGGGTGGCCATTAAACAATCACTTACTTATTGTCAGTCCAAAGACCCTCTGCGTTACCGTTTTCAGAGAACAGACCTCTGGATGGCCCCAGGGTGGAAGCAGGGCGCTGGTCTATCACTGGTGGTCTGGAGTTGGGGGGACCACCCACTGTCCACATTTCCCAAGCTTTCACAGGCCAGCATCACTCAGGGATCTCGGTGAAGGCGGGACTGAGGTAATGGGATGGGGTCTCAGACTCAGGGTATGTGGTAGGCTTTCTGCTGCTGGCCGAGGTAGGACCCACCTGAGCAGTGAAGGCTTTGCCTGCTCCCTAACATCTTTTGACATGCCCCTCCTTATTTGGGAATCCCAATTCTAAAGCTCCCTGCTTTACAGATACCTTGTTGTTCATGGGGTTAGTTCTTCGCTTTCTCAGGCTGGCTTCTCTGCTGTCGGGCTTCCACAGTACTCTCATTTGCTCTCTGGCTTTGTGAGTGTATGTCTTTTGAAAAACTAGTTAGTTTTGGGAAGTTTCAGGAGGGAGCAAAATGAGTTGTGAGCATTTTGCCACATAAGCCCTAACCCTGGCCATCTGCTGTGGTATTGCCAGAGTTTGGTTCTGCACCTGTAAACAAGGGTCTCTCATCACAGATAGTTGGAGTTTAGGCTTCAACCTTCCTCCTTTGTTGACCTGCAAAGATCTCTTTTTAAAAAATTTTCTTTTTTCAAAATATTTTTACTTATTTACTTGTGTGTACATTTGTCTGTGTGAGGGTGTCAGATCCCCTGCAAGTGGATTACAGACAGCTGTGAGCTGCCATGTGGGTGTTGGGAATTGAACCCAGGTCCTCTGGAAGAGCAGCCGGTGCTCTTAACCACTGCACCATCTCTCCAGCCCCCTCTTTTTAAAAAAAATTTAATGTTAATTTAAGAAGTATTTATTATTATCGTGTGTGTGATATGAGTAGATAGATCCTATGATGCATATGTGGAGGCCGGGAGACAACTTTCTGGAGTTGATTCTCTCTTTCTCCCTGTATGTAGGTTCTGGGGATCGAACCCAGGTCATCAAGCTTGTACAACAAGCATCTTTACCTACTCAGCCTTCTCATCGGCCCCTTATATTATATTATTTATTTATTTATTTATTTATTTATTTATTTATTGGTTGGTTGATTGATTGATTGATTGATTGATGCTTGGGACAGAGCCCAGGGCCTTCCATGTGCTAAGCAAATGCTCTACCACTGAACTACACTCCTAGCCCAACCTGCTAAATTCTTACACAGTCATCCAAAAGCAGCTCCCGTGTCTGGCCCATTTTTGTCCCTGAATTCCCAAAGTGTTTGAGTCTCATGAATCTTACGGTGACCATCTCTGTGCAGCGTCTCCCACGGTCTCCATGAACTCCTCAGGATGGACTGGCATCGCTGCAGCTCTGCCCATCAGGAACGCAGATGTCAACAATGAATTCATTTCTGCGCATGCTCACTTTGTCTTGTCCCTCTGCACTCTGTGCTCTCTTCCTTCAAGAAAAGACAAGTGTGTTAACCACCTGTCCTATCATCAAACAGAAATTCATGTCCCATAATCTTAACCCTACTTAATTATTTTTTTTTTTTTTGAGACAGGATCTCACTCTGTGGCTCCCACACTGGCCTTAAACATGTAGGTAGACCAAGCTGACCTCAAACTCATGGTGAACCTCCTGCCTAACCCTCTCAAATACCAGGATTACAAGAGTGGTCCACCGTGCTGGGAGTCATAATCTTAAATTTAAAAAGGAGCGATTGGTCAGTTTACTACACTATGTAGACACTGCATAGAAATGAACAGCCATATTGGTCTAGAAATGTTCCTAGTTTTCGTTTGTACGAGGATAATACACTGTATGAAATAGAGAGAGTCTTATCTACGCGGGCTTGGTTACAGCAATTAATAAAATACGCTCTAAATAATGAAAAAAGCCAGTGACTAGTAGGAACAATATTTTTCAAAAAATTGTTCAGATTGTATCTACATGTTATATATATTGCATTTATAATACAATCTGATCTTCGTCTCCTATTGTAAGCACAATTGAAAGACAAATTTTCTCTTAGCTAATATAAAGTGATAATTATTGCCCCCATAATGAAATTTTCTATTGAGGGAGTCTGAATCTGAGATATCTAAATAAATCAAACATGTATTTTTAGTGTCAGTGGAAAAAAACAAATGTTTATAAAGCCTGTGTGGCTCCTTTTAAAGTTTTTTTTTAAATTTTATTATTTTTATTTTACGTGCATACATACATGCATGTTTTGCCTGCTTGTATGTCTGAGTACCACTTGTATACTGGGTGCCTGAGGAGGCCAGAAGAAGGTGTCAGATCCCCTGAAAATGGTATCACAGTTTTGAGTTACCGGGTGGCTGTTGGGAATTGAACCTGGACACTCCGAAAGAGCAGCCGGTGCTCATAAGGACTGAGCCATCTCTCCACTTCCTTTAACAAATTAGAACACTTTCTTTAAGATTTACCTTTATTCAGATGTGTGTGGTTTATGCATTGGGGTGGGGGGGATGCACGGACCTGTGTTCTTGGACTAGTGCAGTCACATGTGGAAATTAGAGCAGGCTCTCTGCTGTTGCTTTCTGTCTTATACCCTTGGGACGGGGTCTCTCTCTCAACCCAAAACCCACCTTTACAGCTGGGCTAGCCTGTCAGAGAGATCCTGGGATCCACCTTTCTCTCTGACCGGAATGCTTGAGTTACAGACCCCTGCGTCCCTGTGGGGCTTTTTACCGGGGTGCTAGCCTTGAACTCGAGTCTTCTCGCTTGCACAGCCAGCCCTTTTACCCCTGAGCCACTTCTCCAGCCCAAATTCATGATTCTGCTCTGCTTCCGTTAATTACATAATCCCATCTATGTCCCTTTCATACGTATTTCAGAAATAGACAAAAATGAATACAAGTTGGACATCAAGCCTGATTAATCTTAGACTTCTTTGATAACCAGGTATTGATTTCTGACACTTGAAGATGGATGAAGGCACAGAAGTTTCAACCGACGGAAACTCCTTGATCAAAGCCGTCCATCAGAGCCGGCTGCGCCTCACGAGACTTTTGCTAGAAGGCGGTGCCTACATCAACGAGAGCAATGACCGTGGAGAAACACCTTTAATGATTGCTTGTAAGACCAAACACATCGATCAGCAGAGCGTCGGGAGAGCCAAGATGGTGAAATACCTTCTGGAGAACAGCGCCGACCCCAACATCCAGGACAAATCTGGGAAAAGCGCTCTGATGCACGCATGCTTAGAAAGAGCTGGCCCGGAGGTGGTTTCCTTGCTCCTCAAGAGTGGGGCGGACCTCAGCCTGCAGGACCATTCTGGCTACTCAGCTCTGGTTTATGCTATAAATGCGGAAGACAGAGATACCCTGAAAGTCCTCCTTAGCGCTTGCCAGGCTAAAGGGAAAGAGGTCATTATCATAACGACAGCAAAATCGCCCTCTGGGAGGCACACCACCCAGCAATACCTCAACATGCCTCCGGCGGACATGGATGGGAGCCATCCGCCGGCCACGCCTTCAGAAATTGACATCAAAACAGCCTCGTTGCCACTCTCATATTCCTCTGAGACGGACCTGACACTCTTTGGCTTTAAAGATAAGGAGTTTTCTGGAAGCAGTGATAACACCTGGGACCCAGACTCTCCTAGGCGGAAGCCTGTGATGGCCACAAATGGGCCCAAGCTATCCCAGGCTGGTCCAGCCTGGATCAAGAGTACCCCATCACTAAAGCACCAGGCCAGAGTGGCCTCCTTGCAAGAGGAGCTCCAAGATATCACTCCAGAGGAAGAAATAGCCTACAAAACCAGCGCGCTGGCACTTTCTAAGCGGTTCATCACCAGGCACCAGAGCATCGACGTAAAAGACACAGCGCACTTGCTCAGGGCCTTTGACCAGGTCAACTCAAGGAAGATGTCGTATGACGAAATAAATTACCATTCTTTGTTTCCGGAAGGCAACCAGCCATGCATGGAAATTCCCACTGACCAGGACCCGGACTCCAACCAGGCTCTCTTTACCTCCACTTTAAAAAGTATCGTCCAAAAGCGAAACTCGGGAGCCAATCACTATAGCTCTGATTCTCAGCTCTCAGAGGGGGTTACCCCTCCAAACTTAGAAGATGGCAAAGCTGGAAAGAAGAAGATCTTCGCGCCATCTCCTTCCTTGCTAACGGGGTCTAAAGAATTAATGGAGACCGTCCCTCCGGGTCCCCTGAGCAGGAGGAATCACGCGGTCTTAGAAAGGCGGGGCTCTGGAGCCTTCCCCATTGATCACAGCCTCCTGCAGAGCAGACCCGGGTTTCTGCCACCCTTAAATGTAAATCCTCACCCTCCTATCACAGACGGCGGTGTCAACAAGATCTGCAGCCTGCTTTCTTGTGGCCAAAAAGTGCTTGTGCCCACGGTTCCTAGTTTCCCGAAGGAGTTCAAAAGCAAAAAGATGTTGTTAAGGAGGCAGTCACTACAGACAGAGCAAATCAAGCAATTAGTAAATTTTTAAGAGATGACTAGAAAACACAACATGTTCAGACGTCTGTATCAGAAAAACAGAGAAGAGATCTTAACTGTATCCTTTTAAGTCTTAGCTAGTGCATCACGGCTAGGCAGATCAAATATAGTGTATTTTGTATTAGGTACTGTGAGCACACCATGATATAGAGCTTCTGAGGAAATCCTAACAAAGCGAAAGCTGGTTTTCTTAAAACCTCCAGTATTTATCAGCTTTCATGTGGCCCAAGTTTTCCATCTAAACAGAAATCCTCCAAGAAAGAAAGTTGCCTATGCTAGAAATGATTTTTAAAATTTCCGATTGGC